CGGGCTTTATCGCATAAGCCGCGAATTTTATTGCTCGATGAACCTTTGGGTGCACTCGATGCCTTAACCCGCTTAGACATGCAGAATTTGATTGAAAAATTATGGACGGAACAGGGCTTTACCGCCATTTTAGTCACCCATGATGTTAGTGAGGCTGTTCAACTGGCCGATCGGATTATTTTGCTAGACCGTGGCCATATTGCCAAAGAGTTTCAAGTCGACCTACCCCGCCCTCGCGTCAAAGATATGCAGTTCAATACCCTTGAACAGCAGGTGTTAAATGCAGTTTTAGCCACATAAGTAGACTAAAAAATCCTTAGCTTGGGGGGCTAAGGATTTTTTATGCTGAATTTAAGTAAAAAAAGCAGAAGACTGTCATATGACTTAAGCATACTTTATTTTAAATAATGTAATAAATTTCACGTTATTTTTATCAAAACATGCCACTTCACATTGAATCATTTCATATAGTTTAGACAAAATAGTTTTTATATAATTATATTTTATTGGACAACTTTTAGAATTTATCGCAATTTAAGAGCCAATCTACAGAATAAATGATCATTATTCAAAAAATTAAATTTCCACTTTGTGCACAAATCTGATGATTTGCCGTACAATTTGTCCTTCCCCCTTTTTATTGTTTTTTAAATTAGAGAATGGAACAGAAAAAGAGTACTCAAAAACGCCACCAGCTGCTGAATGCTGCACTAGACGTCTTCTCGCTCTATGGATTTAATGGAGCAAGCTTAGATGAAATCGCACAGATTGCTGAAATGCACAAATCGAATATTTTCTATTACTATGAAAATAAAGAAGCTTTGTACGTTGAAGTTTTAACGACGGTTTTACAAAAATGGTTAGCCCCACTACAGATGTTAGAAGCTGACTTAGAGCCGGAAGAAGCGATCACCAACTACTTATTGCAAAAGATTGAGGTTTCTCGGACTCAACCGAAAGCATCTCGCTTGTTTGCGTTAGAAGTGATCCAAGGGGCTCCGCATATTTTGGAAATCCTCAAAGGGCCTTTAAAGAAGTTGGTCAAACGTAAAGCCAAAGTCATTAGCAATTGGCAAGAGCAAGGTAAAATTTCAACTGAAATTGACCCTGAGCTGTTAATCCTCAACATTTGGGCATTAACACAAAACTATGCTGATTTTGCCACGCAAATGGAAATGGTGACAGGTAAAACCCTACGTAACCGCAGTATGCAACAACGAGTCATTCAACATACCGTGCATATGATGCTGTATGGCGTGATCCCGCGAACACCGTCTGAATTATTCAAAGCTGAGTAATTTTGGCATACGACCATAGCACTCTATGGTCGCCGAATTGAAAAAGACAGAATCAAAGCCTCAGATACTTTCAAATAATGCTAATAATTTCTGAGCTCCCAATAACAAATTGTCTTCCCAGTCCAAATGCGCGGTGTCGTTGGCACCATCTGAAATATATTTGACCGAAATCAGACGGACACCCTGTTTTTTACAGACCTTTGCCAGCGCATATCCTTCCATATCAACCAAATGACACGGTACTTTGGGTTCACCCGTTTCAAAGCTATCCCCTGTTCCACAGATGCCAGTACGGAGTTGTTGGAAAAACGGTTCTAAATGAATCTCCGCAGGATGCATGGTGTCAAATGGGGTAAAACCGACAGCGAAACCCAGTGGAGAGACATCCATGTCGCGTTGTACGAATTGAGAGACTTCGACCAATTCGTGCTTATCAAAATACGTACTGCCTGCTGTACCTAAATTAATCAGGATTTTACAGCCTGTTTTTTGAATCACTTCAAATGCTTTATAGGCCGCGTTGACTTTACCAATACCGCTGTAATGAACTTCAATCCCTGCCTGCTCAAACAATCCTTTAGACTCA